CTGAAGTTTCTGCGTTGGACGCATTCTGACGAAGCCATTGGTTCTCTTTTAAAAACCTGTTAACGACATCGGATCTCGAGTTTTGAGCAGTTTCAACTTCTTTATACATATCAGCGTACCTTTGCCCGATCCACATATCCCTACTCACCCCAGATAATCCCGACATCTCAGCTTTCATTTGAAACAAACCTGCGTCCAGCAAACCCTCTTTTCTAATCTTCTCGGCACGATATGCGTGCAATATATCCGCACGTTTGGCATTCTCTTCTGCCAATGACGCACGATACCGATTAGATTGTGCTGTCGCTTTGCTAGATGAAATAGAATAAAATATATCTAAGGCAGTTTTTCCAATAGCCAGAGCCTCTAATAACATTTTAATCCTCCACGTTTATGTGCGTTGTAACAGAGGTAAGGTGAAAATGAGAACACTCACCCTTATGCTTGATGACCAACTCAGGGAGGTGTTGTGAATCACTGAATATTGGGAATGTAAACTCTCCCGTTTGAGGAGAACCACTCAGCTCCTCTATGGGGTGCATTTCTTCCCCATGAACACCAACCTCAACATAACTTGTATTAATGACTTTGATAGAACCCTTGAATATGCGGGCTTTCTTACCACTGAGGTTATTAAACGCATCGCCCGTATCAATAGGAGGAAGTCGGGCTATACAATCATACCCATACATCGTTCCCTCATGCGGTAAAGGCTTTTCTCCTTTCTCCAAAAGCCTCGTAATAAGCTTTTCTCCCTTTTGGGAAACCGCATAAACTCGAACATCAGATCCATCATCAACAGAGGTCAGATACTTATCGCGTTCAGATATCGCTTGCTTGTCTTGTTGAGTGATTACGGATTGACGATGGTCTTCGCTTGGGCGAGAAATCGGCTCTTGAGCTTTTGGCTTTTCTGCCTCAATACATGGCTTACCCGCATCAGTAGAGGGCTTACCCAACTGACCAACTCAGGCTTTTCTGCCTTTGCGCGTAGTTTATCAAAACGCTTTAAAATATCTTCAGAAAGAACATCCGTATCATCCGCTTCAGCTTCTTTCTCGCCAAGATCTTTCTTGGCTTTAGCTTTTATAGCCTGACGCTTCTTTTCTTTAGCCTTTAACTCTTCCTCTTTAGCCTTTATTTCTTCATCTTCTGAACCGTCCGAATCATTCTTTAATATAGCTATCTCAGCTTTCAAGGATACTATATCATTCTGTAGGGCGGAAATTAAAGGCGGGTCGTATCTTCTAATGCCCTCCGAATAGCAGCCAAAGCTTGCATAGACGGAGAAACACCATAAACACTTTCAGAATGGGTCTCATATCGACCAATGATATAAGGCATAACCCGATAAAATCCCTCGTCCATTATTCGGTTTTCGTTAACGCAAAGATGCTTTGAATGATACTGAGGCATCGTATCAGGCTCTTCGTCTTTCAAAACTTTCGGGTATACAGCATGGACGAATTCATACTCTTTTGAGGGGTCTTTGGTAATATCAGCTTTCATCTTGTCGGAAAGCTTATCTTCCCCCCACTCCTTCGCAATGTTCATGGCAGTTAAAGTATAACTGCTACATACCGTATCAATCATATTCTCATGATTGGCTCGTAAATAAACGCTCTGGATAGGAATGGAACTGTAGCTAATACCAGAGTTAGACCCTCTGCGATCTTTGCCAGGGCCTACATAAAAACATCCTGTGCCGAAACGGACTACTTGAAGGTAAAATTCCTTAAAACATAAATTAAAACCCGAAGAATGTTTCTCCCGTCTTAAAAATAGCTCACTGGTAACCGCATCACACCACGCATCGATATCTTGTTGTGCCCCCTCCCTAAATTCCGATATTATTTCCTGCTTCTTCTTAAAAGCTAATTTATGCCACCGTTGCCCAAAAGGGGTAATCAGATTGTGCAGAAGCGATGCTAATTTTATGCATGCACTCACAGCCGTAGAATCCCACATCTTCCTACTGGGTTTACCTTTTTGGCTATAGGGAAATAAAAGATCCGATATCGTCTTATATAACTGATCTGTAGAGCTTCTAGCGGATTTTAATTCCTCAAAACGGGTAGTAAGCTCCTTAACTAGGCTGGAATCAGAATCAATCATTAGAACCCTCCTGAAAACAAGCCTGAAAGCGGCGATGTTCTACGAATAGTACGACGTCTAACGTGGTTAAAGGTCGACATATATCCAGGCAAGGAAGCTTGGATTTTCTTGTCTACTTCTTCACCTACATTCGATAGTGGTTCTGGGGTAAATGGTTTGGAGTTCGTAGCCTTTAGTTCAGATATTCCTTTCTGTTTCGATTCTTTTCTTAATCCCTCTTCATACCCTTCATTATCCCATATTCTTTGCCCAAGCTCACCAACCTTAGAGAACCCCATACCTATTCCAGTATAAAGTCTTCCTGGCTATGCTCATTATAGGGGCTAAGGGTGCGAACGAACAAAGAAGCTCCGAAGCCGGGGACTAGACTTTCCCCTTACCGTTCTATAACTGATATGATCTCTCAACCGTAAAATAGCGTAATAAAAGCCAAATATAAAGAATAGGGATAGGGAAAAGAGCTCACTTCGAGCCAAACAAGGAAACCAAGAAGCCTTTCATCGACAAACACGAACAGGCTTTCGATCAACGGTAACCAACCTCCTAAAGGAGGCGGGTTTTACTCCCTTTACCTTCCCAGAACTCCTAACTCAACTATGCCCAGATAATCTACTAAAGAACTTCATTCGTTGGCCGAAGCCGGCTCACTTCATTCTTAAACTCCTCTTTCTATACTTAATCAGAAGAACTAGAACTCTTTTATTTACACTTTGTCCTAGAAGCCCGAGACTAGCAACCAATAGGAGAAGAGGACCCTAGCAACAATAGCAAGAGCAGCCCTGCCTGCGAGTAGAAGAACAAGGATAGACGCATCCGTAGAAGGAGCAGGATTTCCAAGAGGACCCTTCCTTGCTGAGGATGCCACCCTTTCACTCAAAGCGGACGTAACAACAAGGTTAACTACTGAGCGAGAACTCCTTGGTTTCACTCCTGCTGTGCAGCTATGGCATAAAGGTTTGCTCTTTTTCCTACAGGTAGGAGTACCGGCCCATTCTTAAAGATAAAAAAAGAAGTCATTTTTCTTAATATAAGAATAGTCCGCCCCCCTCTGATCCAAGCTTATCTCTGATTCCTCTAGGTCTCGAGAAGAGAGGGAAGTCTTATATATCTGATGATTAAGTGACGAAAGACCTCTCATTCCATTACCAGCCCGAGTCTGGGTAGTACCCCGGGACTGTACCATAAAAGACTGACCGGAGATTCCTCCAAGTAGCCATGTTCCATTACTCAAGACCTGGTTCCCTTCAAGAATTGGAATCCTGAAAGACACTCCTTTGAGTGCGACAAGGTCATAAACTCTCCACATAAGACCGAAGCGAGTTAGATTTATTTGCATCCTTCGGCTCGATCCTCCAGGATCGCATAAGCACAGCCGTGTCAAAGAAGCTACTTATCTGGACATCCGGTTGCATAGCAGTACCGTAGTACCTGTGATAGTACGCTAGCCCCTCCTTCATCCACGACCGTAAGATTGACCACTCGATAAAGTCCTTGACCTTGACCTTCTCGGTGGCAAAGAGGTCATCTGGTATCAACCTTAGCTCCTTTGGACACATTTCTTCACGTAAGAAGTGAATAATATAAGCCCGAAGATAGGGGTTAAGACTCGCCCCTCTCCCTTCGCCCTTCGGTCTCACATATTTCTAAACCTATCGGTCGAGCTGCTTCCCCCCTCTCACTTCGTTCGAGCTACTTCGTTCCTCTAGGTGTGAGTTTAAACAAACGCCAATGGTCTCTCAAAGACTTTTTTTTCGCTTCTTCTTACTATAATTAGTCTTTCGCGTGGCATCCAGCTTTGGGATGCGGAGGATTGGGAAGTCTTTATACTTTTTCGTTATTTCGTAATCCCCAGGGTTCTGGCATTGATAGCGATTGATCGAATTCCTGCTAGCCTTATCGACGTCTGGTCTTAGAAAGTAGAGACGTCAGCAGCAAGGAAGAAAAAAGATCGGACAAGAGAGAAAGATCGATGCATCTAAGTCGGTTGGCGTGCCCTAGGCTAACTAACTTTCTTAGGAAGACTGAGACAGCTGTCATCGCTCTTTTACCCTAAGATAAAAATGAAATTGAATCATTGAGTCAAAGTAAAGGCAGAAAGTGCAAAAAGGATATACATTGTCGGAGATCTCAATCTTCTTAAGTGAAGAGAGAACTCAGCTCTAGTAAGTTCAGTGAGTCGTCAAAATGCCTATCGAGGTCGTAGATTCATGGTGTGGGAGAGGTAGGTTAAAGCAATAAGGCATGAGATCTGACCCCAACCCTTTACATAGGTGAATTAGGCCCATCTGCCTTGTATAAAGTAATAAAGCTTTTTGGGGAAAAATAAATAGAAAAAATTCCTTCCCGGCCGACGGTTTGTTCGTAAGCCGCTACAGATCCCCACAATAGAGTTGATCATCTTCAGCCCAATGCCTTCAAAAAGCTCGAAGTCAGAAGTATGCTTTCTAGCTCTCCCCTACTGTGTTTAGAACCCTTACTTCTCATGACATGCTGATTGGCTTAAGACCGGAATGCTTACCTCATTCCTTTTATCGAGCATAATGATGCGAATCAGCATGACCTGAGACAGGAATGAATGCAACACATCAGACTGACCACACTTAGTAATAAGACTATCGACGTTTCGCGTACACTAAAGGAAACAAGAATTGGGAATGGTTAAACAACCGGAACCCCTGAACCTCGATCTACAGGACCAACATACTAAAATACGAAATTCACAAAGGGCGGAATCGACTACAGAAGATACTTTTTTCATAAAATGGAAGAGAGGTGCGGCAGATTCTTGATGAAGTCTCCCAGGGGCAAGGTTTGATACTTCTGTTTCCCCTTCCGGTCATCAAGGAAGAACCTGAACAAGAGCTCAAAGGCATTCTTCTTTTTGTTGGGAAATCCCTTTTCTTAATACCCCCATTCTCCTTTCATCCGGAGCTGCCGTAACTTGGGCTCATCATGCTATACTCGCGGGGAAGGAAAAACGAGCAGTTTATGCTTTAGTAGCTACCGTTTTACTGGCTCTAGTATTCACTGGCTTTCAAGGAATGGAATATTATCAAGCACCCTTCACTATTTCGGATAGTATTTATGGTTCTACCTTTTTCTTAGCAACTGGCTTTCATGGTTTTCATGTGATTATAGGTACTCTTTTCTTGATCATATGTGCTATTCGCCAATATCTTGGTCATCTGACCAAGGAGCATCACGTTGGCTTTGAAGCAGCTGCATGGTACTGGCATTTTGTAGACGTGGTTTGGTTATTCCTATTTGTTTCTATCTATTGGTGGGGGGGTATATGAAGGAACGAAAAAGTGGATTGAGAAATAAAAGCTCGAAGGCAAAGAGAATCGGGCTTTTCCAAAGAATTACTGCAGCTTTGCTGCTCCCTTTAATTATCATATACAAAAAACTTTCTTCCACTTTCCTACCAAATCTCTTTTTATTCTGGCATATAAATGAAGGGATCAAAGAGATTATGGCAGATTATGTTCACCAAGAAATGACCCGAAATTTGATCTTGGTCTATTTGAGATTGTTCTTTTTAATCGTAATCAAAGATGTTTTCTTGTCTCTCGTTTCTTTTCTGAACAAATCGAAGAACCTAATGGATCGAACTCATACATCAAAACGTCTGTTATAGTTATTAATGTTATAGTTATTAAAGATAGGAATGAACCTATGTCCACTTTCACTTTAAAGCCGCCAGACGGCCGGTAGGTATAAAAAGGCTCGTCGAAGACTGATCCTGATCTTCTCTTCGGTAATAACTTTGTGTTCGTTAGACTGTACTAGTTCACTTTTTCAAAGTAATGTTTGTTAGGTCTTTTGAGGCTACTTCTAGTCGAGCAATGATCCAATTGGAGAAGCAAGCGGCTCTTTGTCGTCACATTTCCCTTGGGACCAAGAACAAGCTTCAAAGAAGAAGAAGGAAAGGACAACTCGCAATCTCAGTTACAATGGCTAGTTGGAAAGCTTGTTTAAAGCCAATCGATTATTGGATTTCACCAACCCAACGACCACTGCCGGGGGATCCCTATATCTTCTCTCAGATTAAAGTCTTCAATCAAACGGAATGAAAGCAGGAGATTTATTAGCATTAGTAGCTTTGGGACGATAGACTCATGAGATTAGACCTCATGATGGGCTGTAAGCTCTATTCCTACTTTTCTTTTCTACTCCCATGGATCGCTAACAAGACTTCACCTTCGAAAGTGATCTACGACCGGCTCTTCGAATCAGTCGCTGAGGAATGACAGGTTGAACTATGTCACTGCGCACACCTCCTATCCCACAAATTGAGTGAGTGTTCTTAGCCATCCCTCAACCGGAGGGGGAAGGGATGATGGTGGAACCCCCCACCAATGCTCCTATAGTACCCGCAATTAATACCTGTCGAGGACTCATCAGTCAAGCGGATAGCATTGCCTTTTTTTTCTTGTTACTTTTTTTACTCACTTGCTAACAGCGCTAGTCGCCTCTTACTTTATGTGTATACATAGGAAATGTCCTTTCATCTCCTTATCCAGTACTGACGCCGCTCTACTTCAGTCTCAAGGTTACCGCTCGACCTTCTCTCCTGCATAGGTATGGCGCATAGAAAGGATTCGCTCTTGACCTTAATGAGAGTTACTAGCCCGACTGACTCATATCTATCGTAAAAGGCCTCCCCACTATCATGCGAAAGGGATCAGCTACTCCTTGATTATTTGCTTAACTGGAAAGTAGAGACTTCTCGCAATCCGAAGCGATAAAATCCCCGGCTTTCGACCTGGACCAGTTCTTCAAGGACCCCATTACGGCGCTCTCTTGTTGAACTGATAGATTATCTCTTCCATTCTTCAATTAGATTCTGGACAAAAAGAATTCCCTCCAGACAGAGCTCCAATTTTTCTCTCATGCAAAGTTCTCTCGCGAACTCCGCCGCTCCTACGGCTCCGGAGTCTGACCAACTTATCCGTAGCACTAAGAAATACAAACGGCACTTCAGTGGGGTGCCCCGTATCCCTGATTCCGGTGAAAATGCTTCTGTCTCACGCTCTCCGTCAGATGTTCAGCAAGCTTCAGCTGGGGGTCGAAACCCTAGTAGGCTCTCTTTCAAAGAGATTGTTGCCGCGGGTAAGAATCTGCCTCCCTTTTATGAAGGGGGAGATGAGGATCGTGAAGCCGATATCAATTGGTTGAGATCTTTTTCCGAGACTCGACTTCAGAACTGCGTGGATTTTAAAAGTTCTCAATGGCTCAAGATGGAACTCTCTCTGGATGAGAGGATTTAACATTGGCTCCCTTGGAGAAAAGCTGTTATTGTGAAACCGTTAGGAATAAATTTGAGTTACTTCTTTCTTTATTAGAAACTTAATGATCTATGCAAGCCTTTTTTTTCCTTTTGAGTTGAGAGATTTCACTATGGGATATTATTTCGTTCGGTTCCGTTCAAAGGAAGATTATGACCGGGTACTTCACGAGGGGCCTTGGATGATGGCTTCGTCGTCAAATACGAAGCCGCAGTCCAAGAAGAGCTTCGCGGCGGTGGCTATGGAGTCGACATTGCCGAAAAAACAGGAGACTAAGGGAGCGAGAAAGTCGGAACCTAATAAAAAAAAAATATTCAGAAGAGTTCATTAGGAGATGCTGATCCCAAAATTCTCGGGAGGGATAGTGCTTTTATTTTTGGTGCTGATAAAGGGAGGAAACTAATTTCTGGATCTCGTTTTACCCCTTTGGAATCGGATAGTGGTGATATGGTTACAGATTCCTCGGCAAAGACTCAGGACCAACATTTGATTGTTAAAAAAATATATAATTCCTCTCCCTCTCCCTATCGGTCGAGCTACTTCGTTCCTTCGCCCTACGGGCTCATAATAAACCTTGGAGATGTAGGGAATTCTTTTTCCAATCACACATTTCGGCTCTACTTGAGACCTGGTAAAGATATACACATCTGAGGAAGAGCAGGGATAATAATCGTAGACTAAGAAGAGAGGACGTAAACACATTCATTTAATTGGACAGCTTTGTTAGCAAGAAGCTGTTAGCGGAACTCAGTTCCACGTCTTTTTTGGGGAGTAGAGGCTTTTGGGGTTGAGCTTGAAGGCTTTCCCTAAAGGACTGGGATTGATGCCGAGACTCTAAAACTAGAGATTGCTCTGATTCTTATTCACACCGAAGTGCGCAATAAAGAATGGCGGGATGGATTACTTGCCATAAAGGCTAAGCACCTCAGGGAAATGTTAACCACATAGGGATGTCTTCAGTCTCCTTCCGGACCTACTCATCGAAAAATGCCCAAGTTCTAAGATAGAAGAAGCTTCAAATGCTTCCAATTATAGAGAGGACAAATACGGCTGTTTGCAAGAAGTAGCTGCGAGAATGCCCCCTTCTTCTATTCTCTAGCTACATAGGCTGTAAGGAAAAAGGCAAGTAGGCCAAAAAGACAGGCTTTTAAGGACCTTCTTATGCTTGAATAAGCTAATAACAGATCTTTTGCGTCTTTCGAGATGCGAAGAGAAGTAAGAAGATCGGCCTATAAACCTGTGACGCCAAGGGGATCTGTCTATGGGGGAAAGCTCCCTCCCAACTAATGAATATGCACCAGATGAAGACCGCTCCAGTAAAAAGGAAGTTTAAAGAAAAAACCTTTGAGGCTCTTTATTAAAGACTTATCTTTTTCACAATCGCCGACTACGAAATTCTTAGGAAGTTAGCTGGGCTGAAGTCACTCTACTTGCCGAGGGGGAGAGAGCCTTTACTGACAATTCTGTTGCGATTCAACCCCCTGCATCTTTATTAAACGCTGACTTTATCTCCGAAATTTACAACCTTGATGGCACCTCTCTTCAATCTATGGGTTTTCCCTTCTTTACTTCTGCTAATACTCCTCTTTTTCCACACCACCCAGAACGAAATGCGCCGTCAATGAAGTCGGTCAGTCAAGCCTGATCTTCGACCACCCTTAACACTAATCTAGAAGCATTGATACACGAAACCCGGAATTATGAGCTTTGGCAACAGGATCCAGACCCCTTCCGAGAAGCTAGAAAAGCATCTGATGGGAAAGTGGAAGCTAAAGATATAGGGCTACCACCCTCTAAAGATCTAGATACAGAGTCGAAGAAAAAAAAAGGTAGGATCTTTCGTTTTGGAAATAAACAACTCGGAAAGCTTGATCTGTGACGTCGCATAGCTCTTTAGGAAGGCTGTAAGAACAAGATTCCATAGAGAAACGCCATCCAAAACAGAAGCCAGTTCCAGCAGAGTCAAAGTAAAATAAGAAGGGCCTTGAGCCCGGTACTCCTTCTTCAAGCTATCACGCCCATCTAAGCCTATTGCTTCTGTAACAGCAAAAAGAAAAGACTAACCGCTACTACTACAGCTAGGGGCTCTTCCCCTCAGATTCTTTCCTTCACTTTAGGGAAGGTTGAAGTTGAAGCTCTAAAAGATAAAAGAAGAGAAGAAGACATGGGGTCGAATTGTTGATGTTTTGCACACTGACCTGGAAAGAGAAAGCAAGAATGCTGAAATGGCCCGAGCAGCATTGACGAGGTATGAAGAGGGAACCTCGAAGATGCGGGATGAGCTGAACTATTGGAGGGATAAAGCAAAGGACAGGAGACAGATGATGAAGAATATGGTATCGCAAAGCCTATTCCCTACAGACAATTGAGAGGCTTAGTGCACGGATGGGGGAAAGCAATGCCACGATAGACGAACTCAGACAACGGTGGCAAGCCGAACAAGTAGATCATCAGAAATGTGCAGCATTGTTACAGACGGCTCAAGCCCAGGTCGTTGAGCTGGCCCGTGCCCTACGACGAGAATCGATCAGACATCATAATTACAGGATATATACATGGGCAGGCAGTGGACAATGGTCACAGATGTTACCCTCTGGATGAGCACTGATGGTTATTTCTTTTTGCAAGACTTAGAGAGGTTGTATCAGAATCTCTATGGGATGCTTCGACCAGAGGTTATTGGTGAGCTTAAAGTACATGTAATTCCAAGGTTCAGGAAGTTCTCCACGAGGCACATAGGCTGAAAGAAAGTATGATGAGGCATGGTTTAATCTATGGCATCAACGCGGTGGTTCCATACCCACCCAACCCGTGGGGTGATCTCGTAGAGGAGGAGGAGAATCTTGAGGACGGTGATGAGGAATATCCAGAAA